CATAGAAATGTTAAAATTGTAAAATTGCATCTTCAAGATTCAGGAACTGCACAGATACAGGGAGCTTGAGTTGACCTGGCAGGTCTTTGTTGCATCTGACCAGAGTTACTAAAGCCACAGAAAGGTGTATGTGTGACTTAAGTGCCCCAAGAGTGCTCAAGCCTAGGAGAGCTCTTCTCCCTTCCGGTTGGTTTGACAGACTCACTAAAGGTGGGCTATGCTACATCGAACAGGACATGCTAAGAGTTCACTCATTGTCCTAGCTATCTGTGCTCGAAGTCGCCTCTTTAGCTTCAGCTATGCTCTGTAATGGCTCACCCAAAACCAGATGATGGTAAGTGAAGGAACCACTTGACACTGGACAAAGGCTGCCTCCTCCCAGGGCAGAGCTATGCACTTAAAATTGTCGTCCTGTTATTCTATCAGGCTGACTCAAAGTCTGGGAACCCTTGATGTTCAAGCTGTAGACTTCCAAAAAAGACTAGATTTTGTTCAAGGCCTGGATGGTTGGCCTCATAAACACTAGTGTTCTTTAAAATGGTAGAAATGTTTACAGAGTGTCTCATGGATTCCAGTGAGAACACAAAGGTGTTGGTTGAGATTGTGGTTGCTTAGGAAGAGTATAGATCTTAGTCTGTTAATGTGGTGATGCAAGTATACAAAGGACTTTTGCAGTGGGTATATTTTCTTGGGTAGGAGATGTGATATAGGAGGTTAATTCTATCACCCAACATTCCCCTTTCTTCAGCTTCCATTAGGTGGCTTGAGGCAAGAGCAGTGATTCACAGCAGCAGACAGTTACTTCACATTTTTCCATAGTAATTTATATTTTTTCTACGTCAGGGGGTTTACTTTTCCCCAGACATAACTCGAGTTGCTCGTGGCCTCAGTGCCTGTCGTTCAGAGTAAAAAGATCACTTTAACAGTTGTCTTTGCCATGAACTGAATCTCCTTGTCCTTCAACGCCAGTGTACACTGCAGTTGTTCCAGATGTGAATGTTTCCTAGATATTCTGCAAGGATGAGGCTGAGGGAGGGAAATCCTAGTGGGAGCATAAAGAGTTCTTGCCCACCACTAGCAATAGATCTGAGCTATTGTCGGGTTAACACAATAAAAACTGCTGTTAAGCTTATGAGCCTCTGACAGTGGTAGTGCAAGTGGGCTTCTGGCTTATGGCCACGGTATCTTAATGTGAAAAGGGCTTAGGGAGAGTTGTTCGGACCTGCCTGTTTCAGTCTTACCAGTGATATGACAAAAATACCATTTTTAAGTTGACACCAGTCGAGCCAGAAAAATCAGTTCAACTTTTGCAGGTGTACCCTAGGAAAAGGAGGCTTACTGGAAAGGAGTTTTATGGCTTTAAAACTATGTCCCATCAGAGGTATTCTGTTGAGTGATGCTGTCTATATTCAATAGTTGTCTTGGAAAAATACAGCGGGTATTCATGCTGGGTTGTAAAACATGGAAGAGAAGCATGCCAATGCACTCTTCATCAAGGCTCTGAGAATATTCTGCAACCAAGGGAAATTATCTTTGATGGTTCTGCAGTACGTGAATTCCTGCTCTGGAAGCATTGCCATCTAGAGGGATTAGAAAGCCCTTGCTTGACCTCTTTGATCCCTCTGTCTGTGACATGCTCTGCATGAGGAACTATTGCAGTTACACGCCTTTTTTTAAAGTGTGGAATTTAATAGCTTTTTGAAGAAAGGAATAGATCGTACTTGATAAACATATTTCACAATCTTTGTCTCCAAAGTAACAATATCCTGTACATCTCATATAATATCACAGGAGACCCCAGGTCTTTGAAATAACTTGGTTTTTCTGTTCTATGTTAAAATGCTTCTTTAAGGAATACAAAATGTTTGTTCAAAACAATGTAAAATAGAACTTATTCCTTGTTTACCAGGAGCAAACAGGCCAGTGGAACAAATGTTCAGTGTGATGAACGGTGTATTGAGCGAGAAGAAAAATCAAATGAGAGCAGACAAGTATTAGGGTTATTCTTCTGCCCAAAGAGAACGGCAGTGAAACTTTTTGCCATAAGCTAATTTGAAACACTGAGACCTGCTGAGAATTCTTCAGTTTAAGAAATAGATTTGGTAGTTTCAGAGTAAGAAGCTGGCAGCTGGGAAGTGAGCATGGTGTTTTTAATAAAGTGCAATTTTTGTCTTTTATGTGACTATTTCATGACCTTTAAAAAAACATAATCAGAAATATCCCTGCTTTTGATTCTTCAAATATGGTGAATGTAATTACAGGGCTCTTGTCTATTGCATTTTTTCTTGTATGTGTGATGAAAGAACTATACTTGCTTGAACAACAGGGGCGTAATTATACTTCCCTCTATTTGCAAAACCCTTAACACTACTGGGTGCTGCTACAATGTGGATTTAGTGACAATTTGGCCTTAGTAACTCAGTGAGGAAACGATTGTGTAGTTCACAGCCATTTTACTGAGATGATCTTAAAAATAAAACACAATTCAAAGGTTAGTTTGGTACTTTTGTTTATTTGCTGCATTTATTCTGTCATTGTTTAATAACCTTCAGTAGCTTAATGGCTAACTTCATACAAAAACTACTACAAAATTCTCTTTAAGAAGAATGTATTTCTCAAATTGTAATTGCTACTGTCTCTGTTCTTCACACACACACATGAACCTAAAAGAAACCCCCTGAACCTGAAGCGTCCCAAGTTCTGCCAAAGTTCACATAATGGTTTGGATAAAAACTGTTGTGGCTCAGATCCACTTCTAATTTTTCTCCATTGTTGGCTTCTGGGTTGCTGCTTTAAATCTGAAAAGCAATTCTGTAATTACTTGGTGCAGAAGCATTCATGAGAACAATAGGAATAACCTTATTATCATGCTGTAATTTTTTTATGCCAGGTCTCTTTTCATTTTATATAACCCAAGAATTATTCACCTTTCCAGTTGTTCTATGAGTATCTTTTGCAGTTTTGGTTTGGTTTCTCAATCTGTAAAGCCAACCATGCTGATTACGTGCTGCTCACTGCTTCATTACAGTGTGAAGTGTCATCCTAAATAAATAAAATGTCATAACTGTGGTTTCTGGGATCTTGTAGAAGCAGAGCAGCCTATTCTGATGAAAGTGAAGATCAACTATTTACTTTTATCCAGAGATTTCTTTAAAGGGCAAAATCTTCCTTCTTCTAAAGTAAGCAAAATTTGGGAAATTTTTCCAAGAAATCAGTTGCTCAAACTTTCAAAGAAAACTACTGCTTATCCGTATTACTGGTAATACGTAATAACAGGAAAACTCAGAACAAGAGTTGACTGAGGAATGGTAAGTATTTTTTCTTCGAAATATTTTTGCTATGCTTATAATTAAGCATAAAACCAAATACACTGATCAAGAGGGAAAATGACAACAAGATCTCTTGCTTGTTTGTCAACCTCATTTACTTCAGAGGATCTCTGAGGTTGAAATGAAATTACCATCACATTTTTTCTTTCTGTGAATTAGATTGCTTTCTGTGGAAATGCATAAAATTAATGATCTGTGGAAGAGGTGTTCAGGCTTTTGCTCACTTTATAAAATTGCAAATACAGGTATTGGTGGAAAAATGGTTTACAAGCCTCTGTTTTCCATCTCTGCCCTTCCCTTCCCCTTCCAATGGTCTTTTACTTTTGTAATTGGAACCAATATAAGGGAAGGCTGAGGACGGTTATTGCTACTTCTGGGAGGGGCTGTCCCATGCACCTTTCCCCAAATGGCTTCTGCCCTGTGCATCTGATACAGTTGTGGAGACGGTGACGAGCCTGGGTTTTTCCGGCATAGACTTCTCCCTCCAGCTGATCTTTGCTGTGCAACTTTCCGTTTTAGTACTGCCAACTTTGATGCCTAGTGTCATCTTTGCCCATAATATATGCAAAAATAGTTGCTACAAATCGTAAGTTTTTAAAGCCACTGTATTCCAAAAAGCGAAAAAAAAAAAGCAAGTAATTCTAGGCTAATCTCATCTTAGTTTATATCCCAACAATGTTCTACATTCTTACCTTGCAATGTAACAAAAGACTTTCCTCTACGGTTTGTTCCAGCTTATGCTTGCCCACAGTCAAAGATTTTGCCTCACTTAATGCTCTGCCACTGTCCTAGTGGTGTGTAAAAATGCTCTAAGCTGGGGCTTGAAACCCAGATCCCACTGAGCGCTGAGGAAATTAGACTCAGCCTGAATCCAAGCTGGGTTTGTAGATATGATGGATAGGTGTACTAAGCCAAACAGAGTGTAAACTCAGCGCTTTTTCCTGTGGTCAATCTCTAAATTTTTAGATTTGTATTTCCTATGGAATCTTTTTTGGTTGAAGCTTTTAATTATGAAAGACTTGTGGTCAGAAGACATGGAGCGCTCTTGCACATGAAAAACCTAATCTAAGAGAAGTTCTTTTTCCACAATTTTGCAATTAGAAGACATTGCCACAGCGTTGCAATTAGAGAATACCTTGATGCAGACATTGTAAGAAAAAATATTTGCTATTGACCATCCGTTTCTAACAGCTCTGCAGTGAATGCTGGTGCCAGGTTCTGCACAGGTAAGTTTCAGAAGAAGAGTTTTTCTTTGGAACAAAAAGAATAAGGAGAAAGACCCAGTGGGACAGCAATCCCCAGACCTCTGCTGTCTCAGGAAATGTCCTGGGTGGGATATATAGCCACCTGAAACTAAGAAGGCGGTTGCCTGATCAGTGCAACAAGGGGAGACTACCAGGTGATGCACACCAATGGTCTGTGGAGGGAGAGGGGTGGGAGGGAGGCTTCTTTTAAGTCTAGGGGTAGTGCTTGGTGCATGCTTGCTATGTAAAATATTATTGCTGTTAGTGTAAACTCTGAATAATTTGTTTTCGCTCTCTCTGTCTTCTCTCTCTTCTGGACTTGGCCGGGCCATGCACAAATCCCAATCATTCAACAGTACTGGAGAGTAGATAGTATTTACCTCAATAATGGTAGTTTCTTTTCGATTCTTTTTAACCCTCAATTCAGATGACGGTTCGAAGCCAACGCCTACCATGGAAACCCAGCCTATTTTCGATGGAGAAGGTAAGAGCATCCCTTAAAAAAAACCCAATAACAAAAAAGCTACTTCTCTCTCTCTCTCTCTCTCTCCCTCTCTCCCCCTCCCTCCCCCCCTTCCCCCTCCCAGTCTCGCATCCTTCCTCTGGCTGAGCAAGCTGGTAGGATTTATGGCTCAAATGCTTTTTTTATCCTGTAAAGCAGAAAAGCCAGTGAATCTCATAAGTTATCCAAATTTCACAGTGCCCTAGGGACCTCAGGCATTTTCCCTAATCCTTTTACATCCTCCCCTCTTCCCTGGAATCCAACAGTGACACCAGTTGACCAGATTCCGGGGGTAACCTTGGAGGAAAAGGTGTCATAGCGAAAAAATTATGCATTGAGTCAGAAATGGCAACTTCCTTTAGACTGTCCTTACCCCCTCACTCTCTCCGCCCTTGTGATACCAATGCTGGGAGTTTCATAACCTCTGCAATGCGTTACAGCTTCACGAAAGGGAGGATAGTGCAAAACCACAGCTTGTGAATGTTGACTTAGAAGAAAATTGCTGGGAGGTTTCTTTATTTAGCAATTACTTTCATTGACGCACATACTATTTAAGCAAATGAAGTCAGTGTCCTGGGCCCGTTTAATTCACAGCCCACCAAGGCAGTTTCCTTCTGAAATGGGCTAATCTTGTGATTGTATTATTTTGGAGAGGGAATATTGGACTTTACTACCAGTGGGGATAGTGGTCCTTGGGCCTATTAGCAGCTGCTTAAATCTTGTATATTGCTTAGAAGTAGTGCATGTTTTCTACAGATTTAAACCCACAACCATCATAGTCAAGCTATAGGCTGAACCACTCTGTGACGCACCTGGAACTGTGGACCTTAAGGGAGTGAGGGAAAGCCTATGCTTTTCATACTGAACTGCTGTACTTGACACTTTTTTTTGAACTGGATCAAAGGCAGAAATGGAGACTACTGAGCAAGAGTAGGTGGTGCTGTTGATACCTCCTGCCTTCTTGTAAAAACAGGTGATAGGGTGGGGTTTTTTGTTGCTAAAATAAGCTTATTTAATGGCAAGATGCTGTAGTCCTGTCACTTCCATTTAGTGATCATAGGTTTGTAAGAATCTTCTTGTGAACTTTAAGAAACAAAGCAAAGCCCTCAGAGCAAAAAGCATTCTCAAATAAACAGAGGAGACTGAAGCCATACTGACTATCTCATGTTTATATCAAAAGAAGTTCCTCCTGGCAGCAAGCTGATGTTGTATTAAATTGCTGTTTGTAATCACAGCATGCTTCTGGCCTTTAAGTTTTCCCCTGAGAGGGTGCCCACAGATATTCAAAGGGAAGAATGCACTAGTACAATGCAGGAGTGAGCTGATCTGGTTAATACAGCCTGTTCAGAAGCTCCTTCTAGGAGAGACTCAGCATTTTGGTCATTCAAATAGAACGGGGCAAAGTTCTTGTGTCGTGAACAGACCTTTTCTGGTCCTTCTGGTGACAGGCAAAGTCTGAAAAAAAATCTTGTCCTATCTTCTACGGAAAACATTTTCAAAAACCTTTGCTTTGATTTGTAGGTGAAATCAAGTCTAATAAATGGGCTTGGCCTGTGTGATAAAAGATTGCCTCTCACAAATCTTGCAATATGTTATGCAAGACCTTATCTCCTAAACTTCTAGAGAGAATGACTAATGCAATGGCTTTCTGTTGTATTAGCAGTGTCTCTTACGACTTGGGAGAAGAGAGTGTGCGTCTGACAAGCAGGTTAATCAAGCTATACATCGATGAATAACCTCTGCTAAGTTTGTCACTCTGTATTTTTGTCATCCCTGTTAGTAAAGTAGGACTAACTAGATTTCAGTGGTTGTTGTAGTGACAAGCATAAGAAAATCCATTCTGGGTCTGATCAGAAGTTTGTATATCCACTACCTTTGAGCGTACTGTCTCCAACCGTGGCTTAAAGTGGGTACATCAGGAAGAGTGTAAGAAGCATTTCGTCTGGAGAAGAGAAGACTTAAAGGTGACCTAATAGCAGCCTTCCAATACCTCCAGGGAGGTTTATCAAGAAGGTGGAGCCAGGCTCTTCTCAGTAATGCATTATGAGAGACAGCAGTCATAAATTGACACAAAATGTTTGGACTGGATATAAGGAAAAACTTAGTCACCATGAGGACAATGAGGCAGTAAAACAGATTGCCCAGAGAGGTGATATTCTGTCCTTCATTTCTGAGCCAGTTGGATAAAACCGTGAGCAACCTGGTCTGTTCTTATAGCTGACCCTGTCTGGAGGAGAAGGTTAGACTAGACACCTCAGGATGTCATCCTGAACAATCCCTTGATTCTATCTGAGCAAACATGTCATGATACTTCGCTAGAATACTCTCCCAGTGCCTTAGGTAGGTCTTCCTGAGGAATGGCTTGTACTTGGCGTCTGACATAAATGTCAGATGACAGAAAAGGGCAAAACAGTTACCCATTCGCCTGTCAGGCCTGGACTCTTCATAGATGTTCAAAGGAGTTAAAGTCCAAATCCCATTCAATCCCAAGTGGGTCTGGGATCTGCTGGGCTCCTGAAAACCTGTGTATTCAAAGTCAGGCAACCAAAGTGGAGCTGATAGCAACATGAATAGACAATAAAAATGTGGAATTTTTTTCGTGCTTAGTTTTTGGGTGCCTACCTTCAGTCCACCAGGGGCTGACTTTTTTCAAATGGCATTAAATACATTCAGCTACCCCTGAAATGTGTGATACCTCTTGGACCTCAACATCTCCAAGATGACAGTTCACCTTTCTCATGTTTTCACCTACATTAGAGGATAATGAAAATTCAAATTTCAGGCATAATAAGTTTTCCTCCCACTCCTTACCATCCTCCCTGAGGGCATAACAGAGCAGTGCCAGAGATAATATAGATCAGATAACTTAAACTCTCCCGTCCAAGGTTTGAATCATAAAGCAGCCATCTCTTAAAAATTATTTCACTTCATTACAATGCAGATCTCAGTGATGTTTATAGTGAATCTCCTCTTAGGACAAGATTCTGCTCTGCAGAAGAGTATTTTATTAATGGTCTTTTGCTATAGTTTTAAATTAAAAAAAGTTTTATTTCATCCTGCACTTCAAGGCTCTGTTTTCTTTGCATCCACCTTCTATTTAGTTTCAATGTGCAAGTTGTATTCATTTCCTAAAGCATAACTTCTTTAAACATCTTCTCTTTTTGGTAAACTTCACCTCTTAACTCAGTGGGAATCTACTCTTTCCACAGATCTGTTGTTCAGAGGAGTCTGCGTTGCTTACCTGTGTTCCAAAAAATGTCCAGGTTAACTGGATGGAAAATACATTTTTACGGTAGATCCCAAGGATTAATTTCCTTTTCTTTTCCTTTCTTCTCTTTTCCCACAATTCCTCTTTCTGCACCTTTCAACCTCACTTAGAGATATGCACCGTTGTGTCTCCAAAGGCCCTGACCCATTCTTCAGCATCTATTGACTTTGGTTGTCCCTCCTTTTTCAGCTGTAGACAGACCCAGTTCACACTGTGCAGAGCCAGAGCTATATTTCATCCCAGATTTAGGAGTTTGGATCCAGCATTTTGGTTTATGGACTTTTGTGCTTCTCCCCTTCCTACCTCTCACCCAGTGTTTAATTTGATATAGTTCTCCCACAAAAAGGCTCAAAGTATATAGGTGTATGTATTTGTAGGAGCACATCATGACTGAGTGATGATAAAATAGTGTAGTGAAACCTGCAGATAAGGCAATCTTTGTTAAGCAAACTTTTACTACTGCTGGAATATCAGTGTTCAACCTATATTTCCATATGAAAAAATTCCCTGAACATGATTACAATAATGCCTACAATTAATGTAGCTGAAAACATTTAGGAAGGAAAAATTCCCTTTCATTTTTTCTTTGTGTTCTTATAATGTATAATCAGTTTCTCTTGTAGTCAGACAGCTTCTCCCTTGCTGAGCAGATCCATGTAAATGTTAACAAGGGAGCAGGAAAACTCTTGTAAAAACTTCTTAAACGAACTTAAGACAAACTCCAGGATCCAGTATTTAAAGCATGCTGTTGTGGAAACTGAAAATTTTTCGGAAAATATCAGTTCTGAAAAAGTCACTTTAGGAGCACATGATATCGAGTACTGCTTTGCTCAGTTCTAATCAAATGCTGATGTTGTGTCATTTCTGTGGCTTAGGGCAAGTTCTGCTGTGTTTTGAAGATGATTGTAACACCTCAGAGGAGGTGCTCTAAGCACTTTTTTCCCACAAATTTATGTTTGGATGTCTTGGTTGTAGTGCATCACATGTGCTTTTCTAACCAGAACTTGTTTCTTTAACAGATTTCCTTTCAAGTTTTTCCAGAAATATCTTCATTTCTCTGCGTATTTATTTTGGATTTTGTTGTTGCTTGTTTTAGGGAACTCACTGTGGTCAGCTCTTCTTGGGCTGTTAAAGCAATATTTAACGTCTGGATTGACTTTTTTTAATCTGGATTTCATACGTACTTTAGTGGAAATCAACATACACTGTAGCACATAACATAACCTTTGAGATCTCTAAGTCTTGAGGAGGCTTTAGACTTGAGAATTGGGGAAGTGGGGGTAGAGAGAGGGGAAAAAAAATGTTTTGCCAGCAGAGAGGTACTCTCTGGAGCGGGAAGATAATGAGATAATCTTGTGGAAGATTTACAAGTAGTGGTTCATAAGAGGTGGAAGACCTCACCAGGGGATGAGCCGATCTCTACAAAGATAATGGATCAGTTAAGGCATGATTGTAGCCAACATCTTGTCCTCGTGAGTTACAATCATGTGTATTCACTAGTTGCTGTAGTTTCTTTAAGGCAGTTATTTTTTCTCTTTCAGAAATCACAGCACCCACCCTTTGGATTAAGCACTTGGTCATCAAAGATTCCAAACTGAACAGCTCCAGTATAAGGAATTCAGGTAATGTTCCATCTAAAAAAAAAAAAAGTTTCTTTTAACTAGGCTGCAGTCCCTTACCGTCTGTTCTTGTTTCATTCTTTCTTCGTTGTAACTATCCTGCTGCTTTTCAGTGTTGCAGGACTTGAAGTGCAGGCTATAAAATAATTTCAGATAGCATCCTTTTTTGTGTCCGGAAGGCCACAGTCGATGTGTGATGAGGGATGTTTCTGTTTCCCCAAACCATAACTGGGGAACTTCTGATTTTTCCATCTATTAATTCATCCCAGCCAGCTGTCATCTTTATTCTGTTTGCTGTTCAGCAGTCTTTCATGGATGTACAAACTGATGCATTTGGCTCTGAGATCTGGGCTATGGTTTTGATCTAAACAGTTAAGAAAATACAGAGAGGGGCTTCTTTTCTAGCAACTTCAAGATTCTTCTCTGCAGGGGATATTTTTTGATAGAGAAATGATTGGATTATTTCATAACTGAAAGTAGGTTACTTATGTCTGGGCCTAAGTAAATGTTGAGATTATTTTTGTGGGTAATAGAGTGGATGGGGGAAGACCCAAGCATAAAAAACAGCAAAGAAAAGATCACGAACATGAGTGGGAAATGGGAGAGCAGGAAGATGTGAAGTTAGGATGTAAAACTTGTGATTGGAGATGAGGGTGAAACTGTGTGGAGTCACTGAAATCACAAGAAATTGGAAGACTCTGAAGAGGAAAGTTAGGGATTCTCAGTAAAAATGGTTTCTATCTGATATATTTTAACTGAAGTGGGAGAAAGGAAGAAGGTAAGGGGAATATCAAAAGAAGAAAATTGCCTTAAGAAGCCATGGATTTACTTTAAGGTTTAAATAGGAGCTGCTACTACTGCGTATATTTTATGAAACAATATATGCTTAGAACAGCTGTTGGGAATAACTCCAGTCCCCAGAACAGATAAATTGTGATACCTTGAAGTACCTCGTCACCTGGTATTTCTGGATTAGCCAGAGGGTATTCATGGCACTCAGCAGTTCCCTTAACGTTCTTGTGCCACTTCCCAACTGCAGGGTGAAATCAGTGCTAGGTTAGGCAAGATTCTCTTGCTGCAGAGTGGAGAAGAGCTCTTAGGAGGAGGACATCCATCTTTGCCCAGACCCCAGTTTTAGCAAGTCTCCTGTGCCTCACCTCCTGACTGTTTTTGTAGCAGGGTGATCTGTGTAGGAACTGCCAGTGGGAATCATCCAGAAGCTTCAGATGATGTAGGAGTATCAGCATTCTTCTTTAAGGATGTCTTTCACAGGAGAGCAAATGCAGTTTGTGTTTTGTGAGCTGCTGGCACAACCAGGAGCTCACAGTGCAATTGAAAGTGATAGTTTAATATTAAAATCCTGTGTCCTATGGGTCCTACCTATCTTGGAGAACAGCTTTCCTTCTGATGCAGTAAACCTGGTAGCTGCAATGGAGATAAGAGTTCCTAGATCTGGGTTCTAGGAGGCTACAAAGGGACTGGGGAATGGGGGGGTCTTTTACTTGAGAACCTGTCTCCCACCCTTTCTTGCCCCGACACAGCCAAAGTATGCTGGCTTTCACGTTGTAAAGGCAATCGGTTTGTTCAAGTGTTTCCTCAGGAAGCTGTCTGATGTAAACCAGAGTTTTGTTCACAGAAGAGTTCCTTTTGTGAGTTTACTTTTGTCCACTTTTTTTTTTTTCAATTGGTTCTGATGTAATTTCTGTTATTCAAACAAGATTATTGTGGGTGCATGCTGCAAATCAAAAAGGAAAAAAAAAGATCTTCTGGAAGATTCAAGAGTTCCATAAGAGGTGGTTTCTACAGCAAGCTGAAAGGAGATGTGTGGTTCATCTGACTCAGCCTTACAGATTGCCCTGACAGACACTCATTTGCTGTATCATCTCATTAAGAGACTGGGTTGCCAATTTTTAGCTCCAGATTTCCACATTAGGCCATCCAAATACACAGCCATCTCCATCTCTTACACCAAATTATTGATATCAAGAAATGCTGCCTCATCAAAATAGGGCTATGGTTTAGCTGATATTAGGTGTGGGCTACTTTAGTCTGTTTCTTTCAACCAAAGAAGCCTAGTCCTCTGGTTTGGTACCTTCCATTCCTTTCATCCCTTGTCATATATGTTAAAAGGCAATGTAGGGTAGGTGGGATCGAACAACAAAGAGCTGGGGAGGATAATTATAACTTCGAACCAGGTTCTTCAAACGTCTTCAAGTCTGTCTTGGCTGAAGATGATGAAACAGCTGTCATGAAATGGGCATGCAAAATTAGGGGATGTTTTTAATTGCATTTGGCCCTTGTCAGCTTGCGATATTAATGCTCAGCACGTTTCTGATTTTTCATTTATTTTTAAAGGGTTAAGGTAAGCTTTACTAGTGCAAGATTGGATTTTTGGTTGTGGTATTCACTCGGCTGTATTGTCTCTCTGAGTTTGCACTTACTGTCTTGAAGTAGATACAGCCTGGTATCCTCTTGCAGCAATTTAATGAGATCACTGAAATTGGAGGTGAGAAAGGACCTAGTAGGTCATGTAATCTACTGCCTTGGGGCTAGTGAATATTTGTACTGTATGAAGAGCAGCATTTTCTATTGTAGCATAAATGCTTTAGGCAATAAAGATTTCACTTTTTCCCACAGGAGGCTGCTCTGCTGAACTCAATCTCAGGATTTTTCTTTTTGTAATATCCAGCCTAACTCTTCTATTTCCATTCTTTTTCATTAGTCCTGAGTTCTTGAAAGCCTGCCCTGTTCCTTGGAGTTTGTATACTGAAACACTTAGCCCTGATCCCTCTCCTCCCTGTGGTGGTTATATAGCCCTGTCCTTTGCAGTGAAGAGAAGTCCAGTAGATACTACTGTCAGAGGACGTGTGCTGCTCTCTAATCAGCACTGACATTGGACATCTTGGAAATCTAGCACCATCACTATATCAACCATGAGGAGAGTTTAAGAATTGCTGTATGAAGACAAATAGGCTCTGTAATTTGCTGTCATTGTCTCTGGTCAATGTTAGGCTTCAGAGTGAACCAACCACCAGGTAGCTGAGCATTGCAGAGCTGGTGACACCCTGTGTTGCATATGCAGCCTGTATCTCGTAAGACCTGCATTTGAAATCTGTGTTCCACCTTCCATTTAGTGTTGACAAACAGAAGAGGTTCTCCTGAAACAGTCCTCTCTTTTGGAGCATTTATGTTTTGCTTGGCATGTGTGAATACTAAATAAGCAGGAAAAGCAGAATGACTCTAGCCTGGTGATTAGAGCACTTGACTGAGAATCTATATGTCTCCAGGCGTTTTGCCAGTGAATTTTTCTATGCTAAGTAAAACAGCATTGCTAGGAGGGTTTGCTAGTGCTGTTACACCAGCCCACCTTAAAGAATGAAATTACGACTAGATCTCTTTCTCAGTAGAGTGAGATGCAGGTTCAGATCTTCTCGGCCAGAGGCAGGAACCAAAACATGAACATGCTCTAACATCTGGACCGTTGAGTAACAGAAAAGTTTTCTACACTTACAAACTAAGTCTTTTGCCTTTATGAATCCTAAAAGCCCAAAAGTCAGTTTTTCTTTTTGGGGCAAGTGAAAGATCTAGATCAACACAGTATTTTTGCTGTGGCAAGGTGACAAAAACATTTTTTGATATTTGTTTTGAATTGATTTTCACCTTCCCCAAACATGCACACCCGCATGTGCACACACATGGATACCCCAAACTAAGCCTGTTATTTAGCACTGCCCTCTGTGATGTGTCACTTATAACACTGCCAGAGCAGGAGGTGATACAGATGGGACCTTTGCAATGGCCATTCTCTGATCAGCATGGGTGGGAACTGTCTTTTCATTCTACTTTTACTGTTTCCTATGTCCTCCTCCCAACCTATTCCAGCCTGGAACAGTCCAAATGATTATTCTTTTACAGTTCTTAATCTAGGGAAATACTTGATAATGTATCCCGCTTCCAAGAAAATAAATCTAATGGCTGCTGTTTGGGAGCACCCCATCTCCACTGAGGAATCCATGGTTGTTCCTCATTTCCAGAATTGGGTTATCTCCAAATCCATTTGTGCTACTTAGTGATTTGGTTTTAGTTAGCAAGAGATTCCAGCCTGTATCCAGCTTACCCTGACAACCTTTAAGAAAACCACAGAGTGATGTAATGAGCTCATGCATGGAAAAATAAACAGCTCTAGAGAAACCAGCAGTAGCAGCCTCAAGTAAATATTCTGTAGTCACTGGGGTTTTGAACATGACGTTATTTGAAAGGAAGAATGAGTAATATATTAAGGTTAGCTGCTGAAGACAGGTTTGTGTGTGCCTAGTTAAAAAAAAAAAACAACCCATAGCTGTTTATTTCTAAATCTTGCTTGTTGAATGGGGGCCAACTCCATGTGGGCTATTCTGTTCAGCTCTGGCACCCAAGCATCATGCAGGCATCTCATGTGACAGCTTTCCAATGATAGAGCTTTCTGCTGTCAGGAGCTCTTAGTGGACAGAGTATAACTGTAAATAAGCATTGAAAACAAGAATGGTGGTATTTACATTTCTTTTAATTGAATTCACTTGGAGCCCAAACTTTAGGGCTCTTCAAAGGGAGAAACAGCTTGAAAGCTGCATGTCTGTAAATACTTCTGCAAGAAGCAGAAGCACACCTTGCCATCCACCCCAAAGGGAGTCTCTGTACTCTTGGGTGCAATTTGTCTCCAGAGATCCACGCCGTGAGCTGGAATGCGATTATATCAAGTGTACTACGAGGACCTGGTAGTAGTTCTCTGGTTTGTCTGTGTTCCTTACGTTTTTTCCCCACTTGCAGAAAAAACAGGCAAGAAAATCCACATGGCACCCCAAAATAGCTCCCTCTTTCTAGTGCTCACCTAGGAAGTGATACTATTTTGCTGCATGCCTTTCTTAAGGATCAGGGATAGTGATTGCTCCTAGGGGGAATGTACTCATGGTATGTTGCCTTAGCCATATCCCTAAGATCCTTAGGGAATCTTTCTAGGATCTCAT